TGAAGAAAGAAATAGGCTAAAAACATTTACGGAATAGTATGACGTCAGAAATAGGCTAAAACTAGTCATAGTATAATATGATGTCAGAAATAGGCTAAAACGAGTTATACTACACTATGACCTCAAATATTGGCTAAAATGAGTCATAGTATAGTATGACCTTAAAAGAGGCTTAAATGACTCCTAGTATACTATGAAGAAAGAAATAGGCTAAAAACATTTACGGAATAGTATGACGTCAGAAATAGGCTAAAACTAGTCATAGTATAATATGATGTCAGAAATAGGCTAAAACGAGTTATACTACACTATGACCTCAAATATTGGCTAAAATGAGTCACAGTATAGTATGACCGCAGGAATTGGCTAACATAAGCCATAATATAGTATGACAGCAGAAATAGGGTACAAATAGTCATATTATAGTATGATGTCATAAATAGGCTAAAACCAGTATGACATCAAAAATTGGCTAAAACGAGTCATAGTATAGTATGACGTCATAAATAGGCTAAAACTAATCGTAGAATAGTATGATGTCAGAAATAGGCTAAAACAAGTCATACTATATTCTTGGAAGCGGGATCATCGCACAATCAAGCGGTTTATGTCAAATAGCCAACAGGGGTGCAAGAAGTGTGTTGAAAAAAGAAGATGCAAAATAACTCCCCATGAATTGAGAAGGATCAAGCGTGAAGCTGCCAGGAAGCCATTAGCCACCAGTTGTTCCATATTTTAGAGCTGCAACATGTCTGGAGTGCCGAGAAGAACAAGGTGATCGATACTAAGGGACCTGGCCAAGGTAAGGAAAGCCGAAAAAAGGCCACCTTTGAACAAGACACAAGACAAAACGTCAAGATTTGACCAAGAAATATCTGAAGACTGATTTCTCCAAGGAGTTTTGGTCTGATGTAATGAGAATGAGTCTTGATGGGCCAGATGGATGGGCACCAAGCTGGATCATTAAAGGGTAGCCAGTTCCTTATCGACTCAGACGCCAGCAAGGTGGAGGTGGGGTATTGGTATGGGCTGGTATTATCAAAGATGAGCTTGTGGGATCTTTTCGGGTTGATGATGGAGTCAAGATCAACTTCCAGACCTACTGCCAGTTCTAGAAGACACCTTCTTCAAAGAGTGGTACAAGAAGAAGTCGCCATCATTAAAAAAAAACATGATATTCATGCAGGACAATGCTTCGTCACACGCATTAAAATCCACCACAGCGTGGCTGGCCAGAAAAAGTCTAAAAGGAGAAAAAATAATGACATGGCCCCCTTGTTCACCTGATCTGAACCTCACCGAGAACGTGTGGTCCTTCATGAAATGTGAGATCTACAGGGAGGAAAACAGTACACCTCTCTGAACAGTGTCTGGGAGGCTGTGGTGGCTGCTGCACGCAATGTGGATCGCAAACAGATCAAGACACTGACAGAATCTATGGATGGAAGGCTTTTGAGCGTCATGGTGAAGAAAGATGGCTATATTGGTCACTGATTTGTTTTTATTTTTGAATGTCACAAATGTTAATTTCTGAATTTTGAGTTGTTACATTGGTTTAACTGGTGAAAATAAACATGGGTATGGGAATATATTTGTTTTTTATTACGTTGCCTAATAATTCTGCACAGTAATATTTACCTGCACACTCAGACATCATCATAAAATGGACTAATCTAAAGAAAACACATCAACTTACAAAAATATGAAACTTTAATATTAAGGATTCTTTTGGGTTGATTGAGAACACAATTGTGGTCCAATAATAAAATAATCCTCAAAAATACAACTTGCCTAATATCTCACAGTGTAGTATGACATCAGAAATAGGGTAAAATAGTTATACTATAGTATGACCTCAAATATTGGCTAAGACAAGTCATAGAATAGTATGGCCTCAGAAATAGGCTAAAACGATTCCTATAATAGTATGACATCAGAAATAAGCTAAAATGAGTCCTAGAATAGTAACACCGTAAATCCTCTAATATAGGCCGGGGCCTTTATTTCACTCAGGTGCATCTTGGTCCAGGCCATTATTGGAAGGAGGCCAGAATTAGAGGCAGGCCTCTATTTCTATTTGATCAAAACAGACGACCAGTGGAATGAATAAAAAACAGATTGTGTCTCTTTGAACCGATAAACTACCAGGTTAATTTATTGAAGAAGTACAGTTACCTTAACGGTTTACAGAACATTATTAAGACATCTTCCAGCAGCTGCTATTTTTCTGCACGGCAATACAA